AATTATATATATATATATATATATATATATGTATATTAGGATGGTATGATATTAATACGAGCTGCAGTGGTCGGTGACGAGGCGCTGTTTCCCACCTAACCGGGGCCCATACAACAGCTCTATGGCGAAAATTAACCTGAATTTTGAGCTACAACTACGAGTGAATCGGATCAATGTACCCATACCGAGATCGAGAGATTTGCATGATTGTATGCTGTGGTGCTCTAAAAAAAAAAAATTATGATTCCACGTCAAGATGCTTACACGTGACGCGTGATCCAACCCTACGAATGAGTTGCATCGATTTTCACCTATACCTATCTGACCATTATCTGCGTAATCGTTTGTCCGATGGGCCCTACACAGCGATGATTTTATCGAGTAATAAGATTTTTTTTTTTTTTTTTCATTTTCGACGCTCAGATTAACGACCGACGTGCGTGCTTTTATCAAAGAGACGCAGACGACGGTTCCCGGGCGCGTCTGTGTCTCTGCGCTCGTGACGAATTTACTGCTTCGGCTGAAAGGTGTTTTATTTATGCTTGTGGGCACCTATACTCGATTAGCGGGGCTTTGGGCGCTTTACATTCGCATATGGGTAAACACAAATTGATCAGCGCTAAATTGTTGTCCATCGCGAGTATACACACCCGAAAACGCAATACAATGAATTGTTTATTTATTTTCTACTCCGATGAGGAAAAAAAAGAAAAAAAACATAATGGCTCTCTCTCTCTAAGTACGGCGGTGTTCCAGTTTAGCCTCTGCGCGCACCAAAATCGCAATTTCAAAAAGCTCAACGGAATCGCACGACTTGTCGAAGGAAAGAAAGTTACGCACTGTACGAGAGAACATGGAGGGGGGGGGGTTGGAGAAACACGCGGACGTCAAGTCGATTACAGTTGCATCGGAAAAAGCCATTAGAGAGACAACGCGCCTCACGGAGCTATGAATTTTAATGGGACAGTGGATGTACGTTACGAGAGACTGTTCTATTGGACGTGCAATCGCGTCCGCGGGTAACGAATGGCAAATAAAAAGTCACAGACAACAGATTCAGCGGGTATAGGTGTATACGACACGTTCGGACATTATATAGGTGCACAAGGCAACTCAATCGAGGAGCTCATCGATTCTCTACCATTGGAGGACGTTGACGAAATCGGCCATTCTTACATATATACACTATATTATGTCATCGACACGGGACTCCGGCAAAATACTGATTTTCGTAACACCTCAATGCTTCTTGCAATTTTTTGATCATCGCACGAGCACTAACGTCAAGACAATTAACGAAATCACCACTTCTCGGGCAAATCGGTATTTGGTTTTTCTCCTCTCATCCGGATTCTATGGGCTTCTACATTCGCCAGAGCAAACGAGCCGGACACCGCAGTCACTCATTACCGGGGCCATCATCATCATTATTATCATCATCAGCAGCAGCGTCAGTGTACTTTTCGGTGCAGCATCACCGGGGCTGTAATCAAGTCCCTCCTGCCCCACCTCCCTCCATCACGTAGATAATTTATGGGCGTACGCGCTCATTGACGATAGCTCGAGCCATTCATCATCGGCGCGCATGCCTCGTTGACCTTGATGGGAAAAAAAATGCAAATTTGCATGCGGATCCGCCCGAGCCTTCGTTTCTCTTGCCGCAAAATTGTTTTTGCTTCTTCCTGCAATCCTCTAAATTTGGGATTAACTGGGGATATGTACGCGTGACCTTCTTTTTCCCGCACAGATGTACTTATGTATAGCTTTTAAGGTACGCGAGCGTCAAACCTGTTATTATATCTTCATAAATTCTCGTGCGGACGAAATTTGCATTTCGTTCGTCACGGGCTGTAATCGAAAGGAGTTGTCGGTCAACGAGACCCACAGCCCACCTACTTCCGAACTTTTGGGGTCATCGGATTATTTCTCCAGACCATTCGATGCACCATGTGACTACATTGTTGGAAATATAATTACGTATGTATTTCCGGTTCCAATGCTGTCAAAGAACCCATAATCATTCACTTGTGTCCAATACGTTATTGGCAGTGGTAAGAAACACCTTTATGCCTTTTTATTTAGTATCGGTTAATTTTTCTTTTTTTTTTTTTTTTTTAATGAACACACCAAACAAACAAGTTCCTCGACCCATTCAGCATTTCTATCCGCAGTAATGAAGACGTGTAGCGTTATTGTGTTTCAATGGGCATCGGCAGTTGAATAAATTTCAACGATCCCATCCGCATCGCCGAGTGCGTGATGTACACAACAACACAGCACTCCTCGATCGCACAACGCATACACGGAGAATCGGCGATTCACATACAATAACCCAATCTGCAAATCTAGCTGCGTTGTTTCCTCTACGTGCATGGTTGTTCTAGCACGCATATAACGTATGTATGGATTCCGAACTGCCTTTGGCATATCGATGCTGTCATCTTATCGCCTCGAGAGAAATAATGCAATCGCATATATATACGTGCACGCATGGATAGGAAGCCAAGGTATATTGTAATACTCTGTTCCTTTAGATCGGGACGCGCTGGCACGTACAGCGAAACATCATCGGATATGAGTTGTGTGTATTTAGGTTACGATTTGCAAAGATCCGAATCGTACATTGAGAGGGAAAAATCGTACGCGTATGCAACGACTGGCTCGTGTTTTCGAGCAGAACAATGAACGAGGCAAAAGTGCGTGTGTGCGTTTTCAAGTGGATTTATTGCTGGGGTAGAAAAATAACAGAGGCACCAACTTCTCCTTTTTTCTTTCTTTTCGTAGACTATATTTGGCACCAGGGATGGTTTTTATTCAACCATCGAGAGAACGATACAAATTACAAACTTTATTTTTTACGGGCCAAAGTGGTACGACGAGTTGAGAACAAAGACATTTTTTTTTTTTTCAGCAGGTCACTCGATTAATGTATTTTTTACTGCAGTAGAAAGTAAAATTGCGCACGCAAAGTTTCTTATCATTTAAAAACTCATTTGAATCGCTTGGTACATTTTTGTCGTTTTAAAACTATTCAGCTACACTTTTCCCTGTACAGTTGCCATTTTCTTTCGTCCAAATGGTTGAGATGTACCAAAATGTCCCTATCAATAAACTGTTTTATTCAATGACCACCGGGTAAGGGAGGGTTGGTAGCGATGCAAGTTCGATCTTTGCAGATGGCCATTTTCTTGACGCGTTTTCTGAATCGATGTCTCCTGTTGCCGTTCATCGTCGACCCGATATTGGTCATTTGAAACTCGTCGAGCCCCAAATCGTAGGCCTCGATAAACTCCTACAAGAAGCAATAGGTGCCGGTAGTACTTTGTATAGTCATACTGTACACCAAATGAACCATTTTTTACCGCGTACCTCGCCATCCTCGTTGAAGATGCAAAAAACGTTGTTATTCTGTTTCGACACTCGTCGCACGCAGGTGAACGTGTTGTTGGCCGCGTCTTGGCACTTGCACGCAAAGTCCCTACTGCAGTGCTGAAATAAAAAATAATGACCCTTTTTCTTCAAAAAGTCCAGTTGCACGGAAAAAAAAAAAAAAAAAAAAAACCAACACTCAAATTAAAATCCGCATCCGACGGACAGCCACTGTTTGGCGCACCGACGCTTTTCTCACCCTTGTACTCGACCAGTACACTTCTGTCCTTGACATCGTTCTTCATCTGCCGGAGCAGCGAGACACCGTCCGACGGCCCATCCACCCCTGCGATTTCCAGCACCGTAGCGAAAATATCGACACTGCTCACCGCGCCCTTGAACTCCGTGGCCTGCGTTATGTTGGGCCCTCGCATGAGCAGCGGTACTCGGATGTCCGTCTCGTACGGCTGCCTCTTGTCGTACGGCTGACTGAACTGACCTGGACATTTGCAACGACAACGCACGTTACTACATGGGCAACGCACACTTTTCCTGCTATGCTTCAAGCCGTTTAATCACCCATGTGAAAGCCATTGTCCGACGTGAAGATGATGTAAGTGTCCTTCAACAATTTCTTGGTTTTCAGTTTGTTGTACACCTCGGCAACCATTTCGTCGAGCGACAGAAGCGTTTCCCACCGCTTCCTGTAAATCTCGTCCAAGCCATCGATCACACCGGATGGCAAAGGCGACGGTCCCATTCGTACCAGCCAATGTTTGTCCTGAGGTTCAATTAAACTTTTTTTTTTTACAAATATCGCCCGTGGTTGTACACATCCCTATATATCCACCTGATTTGTCCACGTGTCAAAGTTCTTGGTCCTCTTAGCCACTATACCCTTGCCCTCGTACCAGCCGTTGTGCCTCGCTGCAGGAACAAAAGGCTCATGCGGAGCTGGGGGTGCCAACACCATCAGGAACGGCTGATCCTTCTTTTGACTGCTTATGTAGTCGAGGGCAAAGTTTTTCTAGTACACCGTAAGCAAAAAAAAAAAAAGTAAACTTCATCCAAACAATGATATATTGTTTTTACAGCACGCGGTGTTGGCTCATACGTACGATGACGTCGGTCAGATAATCATTCGAGCTGGTTCTGTACTTTTTCTCCACTCCGTCGACTGATAACGAGTAGTCATAATATTTGGAGTTGCCAACCAGGCCGTACCACTTGTCCCATCCCGGTGGAATACGAGACACACCGCCGGCATTTTTATGTCCGTACTGAAAATGCAACCAACTTTTATTGCTCCGTATCGCGACGGATCATTGAAAAATGCGTCACTGTATCCTTTTATTTACTATAAATATAT